GAAAGTATTTCGGATCTCAACATACGAAAAAATTCTTAACGGAAATAAACTTACGAAACGTGCCATAATAAATATATATAACGATGTTTTTTGAACTCATTACGTATATTAAAAATAAGAATGATGAGTAGGAATATACATGTTTTTTTTTAAAGCATATGAAATTTTTGAAACAGGTTCGAATATGCTTAAGCAAATAGTAAAAAGAGGCTCAAAAATATGCTTTAGCTTAAGCATATTTCTGATAAAATATACCTATTTAAATAATTTCTAAAAGTGTGCACGTTAGTAAAGTTCTAGCAGATTTTAAAGGTATGTAGAGTCCTATTTGAATACGCTTTTCGAAGTATAGATCTTAGAAAATATTGTTTTTTAATTTTAATAAGATATAAATTTAAGTATAAGATCGTATAGCACAATCAGTTAGATACGTGATAATTCGCCGCAGAGATCCGGGTTTGCATCCCGAAGCCATTATAACTTTTGTTCATCAAACTCTTTTTACTTACATTTTTTGACCTCCATGTTCTATATTACAGATCTTTCGTCACCTTCATAATAGTGACAACCTCTCTTCTGTTAGTTATTCTTTTAAGATTGAGTTCATTGTGCTTAATTCTACACGTTTACCTTGCTTTACTAAGTTCTACTTAAATTATGATGAAATGTACGTAAAACAACTTTTTCAAATAATATAAATCATTTTGCTTTAAATCTTGTGCTTTTTGTACTAGACATCTGTTCTAAACACTTTGTAATAATTTCTAGCTAACTCTGAGTCTAATATAATCATTTCTGAATATAATTTCCCTGAGGCTCCTACAGCCTATTGTGTTCCATTAAAAGTAACTAGTTTTCGAATCCAGATATTAATTATAAGCAACTAAAGGTTCACATTACTATTCATTTTCCTCATATATAGAATCCTATTTGCATACGTATCTTTTTCTGTAAATTCTGTTTTATACAGTTTCTTAATTATATAATAAATAAATATTACTATTCACTTAGTTGAATGAACATATAGCTCATTCAGTTAAGACATTTGGCCGCGGAAACCCAGGTTTACATCCCGCTGTTTCACATATATTTCTTCTCTTTTTACTCTTTCTGACATCATTTACCTTTAGAGAGATTTCTCGTTCTTTATAATAAAGTATTTAATTGTTTATCACACATCCTCTTTATACTTTTTAAAAAGAAAGGCATACTGTTTATCAGTTCATTGAGAGTCCAACTTAACGGGATTTTACTGTATATATATGTATATATATATATATATATATATATATATATATATATATATATATATATATATATATATATATATATATATATATATATATATATATATATATATATATATATATATATATATATATATATATATATATATATATATATATATATATATATTAGGTATATTTGTATAAACATTTGAAGAATCATTTGACAACATTTTTTTATAATTTTATTATTTATTATTTAAACTGTTAACAGTTAATATCTTAAATATATCGTAACATAAAATCTTTTGCGTCTTTTTCGTAACTACACATTCCGGAATGCTTTTTCCGTAAGGAACTACTTCATAAGTATTCTTACTAAATGATTTGTTTCGTAAGTTTTCTTTCGCAATGCTTTATTACGGAATTTTATTTATTTATATTTTCGTATAGCGCGTTACGGAATGTGCATTTTTGCATGTGCAACTTCCGCAGTAACAATTCTATTACTGTAGATAAAGATGCGAAATTTTCGCAAGTTTTGTTTTTCGGCAAACAACCCTAATATATATATATATATATATATATATATATATATATATATATATATATATATATATATATATATATATATATATATATATATATATATATATATATATATGTATATTGTCAACAGTATTATTAGCTATATTCTTTATATGGCTATTTATTAAAGTTATTTGTTACACTGCATTTATTATTTTGCATTGCTTGCACATTACATATATAAGCATTTATATATAGAATTTAAATAAAAAATCCAATGAAAATCAAAAAACCTATTTGCTTTAATGTGCCTCATTAATTTGTGTCGCGTCATATCATTACATAATTATACTAAATGACCTATTCTAATGGTTGTCTAAAGCTGTTTACTTAAGCTTATATTTTGTTTGTGACTTTAAATTATTAAAGTTAGAGATTAATACATTTTATTTTTTGCTCTATATATATATATATATATATATATATATATATATATATATATATATATATATATATATATATATATATATATATATATATATATATATATATATATATATATATATACTCTAATTAAAATTATTTTAAGCTATCATGGTAAAAATATTTTTACGTTTGATGTAAATAAAAAGGTACATTACGTTTAGTTATTACTTCTTTGTTAAATCATGATATTTTATTTTTATTTATTCATTTGAATTTTCATGCTATCTTTTTCTATACAATGTTACATCCGAAGATATTGTTGGCTTAGCATAGGAGCTGCCACAAATAGTCATTAAGACTAATCCAAAGTAGCGTTCGATATTGACCAACATTTTTGAAGTTGGCAGTGGCAGGATTTGAACTCGTGTCGCGCAACAGTCCGGGTTTTGATCTTTCGTTTGATGCTCTAATTAACTGAGCTACCCAGCCACAATTTTGCAACTTGATAGGTTACCACTTGATATATCTAGTTGCAATGCAGATCGTTGCGTCAACAGGAAACAAAACATAAAATTGCTTTTAAAGGAGAAGGTAGAGAAATATCATATTTTTAAATTAGATAACAATTTACAATCTTAATAAACAATTTTAGCTAGGAAAAAAACAAAAGTCCCCTCTAAAGCAATGAAACTATGATTTTTTTCTATTTTTGTTGTCTTAAATTTTCGAACAGAAGGTTTTAAATCGCAGTCAAAAATCTTTAGGGTAGAAAAGCCTAGATAGTCCTAAGTTATTCTCAACATCAAAGTTAGCTGCTGTAGCTCCTCAGCATATGTATGTTGTACTATACATGTATATATATATATATATATATATATATATATATATATATATATATATATATATATATATATATATATATATATATATATATATATATATATTTATATATACATATAAACAACATATGTATGTTGTACTATACATGTATATATATATATATATATATATATATATATATATATATATATATATATATATATATATATATATATATTTATATATACATATAAACAATAGCTCCTCAGCATATGTATGTTGTACTATACATGTATATATATATATATATATATATATATATATATATATATATATATATATATATTTATATATACATATAAACAATAGCTCCTCAGCATATGTATGTTGTACTATACATGTATATATATATATATATATATATATATATATATATATATATATATATATATATATATATATATTTATATATACATATAAACAACATATATATATATATATATATATATATATATATATATATATATATATATATATATATATATATATATATATATATATATATATATATATATATATATGTATATATATATATATGTATATACCTTATACTGCTGAGTTAGGTGAGCGTGATGATGTCATACTCACCTAACTTCAAATAGCCTGCTGTCGGGGGCTTCAGTACATATATCGACTGACAAATAGCCTGACTCGCAGTGGAGTGCTGCTACATCGACAGAGGGTTTGGTATGGGTCAGCAACCTTTTCATTTATTATTCTTCGTTTTCTCTCATCGTTTTCTAAAAATGCTCACTGAATTTAGGCTAGCAAAAAAAGTGTGCAATTACGCATATAAATATACTATAGTAGATAAATATATATATGTATATATATATATATATATATATATATATATATATATATATATATATAATATATATATATATATATATATATATATATATATATGTAAGTATATATGTATGTATGTATGTATACAAATGGAGTTTTCAATGTTCTTAAAGAATAGAGCAATAATAAATGTATATATATACCACATTTCTTAAAACAACTTTTGCAGGGCAATTCATTTTTTTTAGTGTTTTGCGTGTGATATCTACTTTTCATGAAGCAATGGTCTTGGTTTTTCTAAAGAAACTATTAAACAAAGTAATATTTGAATGAAATTAAAAGATGTATATTATTAAAAGCTAAATTCCTAAATATATTTATAAAAATATCATCCGCAGATGGCAACCTAAAATAGCTTATTGATAAAGTTAGTCTTTATTAATATAAATACAATATATACATATATATATATATATATATATATATATATATATATATATATATATATATATATATATATATATATATATATATATATATATATATATATATATGTATATATGTATATATACATATATATATATATATAATAATATAATAATTTAATTTATACCTGGTAGGAAATCGGCTAGCAAATAGCTAGCTATAATCGTCTATATAGTCTATTATAATTATGAGAATAGTTGAGCTTTAAACATTGCGATTTTATAGCAATGTGTCGCTAGCTACATATCGTAGCTTTGCAGCTAGCTACAAAATATCTACAAATCTATAGCTGGTTGATAGCTACATACCAAAATTTTTTTGATAGCGATTTTATTACGATATGACGGTAGCTACAATAGCCTGTGATTCTTAAACTTATTAAGCTAAATGTTCTCGTAGCCAAATTGCTGTCTTTATCTTTACAAATATCGATAGCTTTTCGCTAATTTAAAAAAGCTAGCAATCTTTGTGGCCAAGTCGCTGTCTTTATCGTAACGATTACAGGTAGCTATTCGCAAGCCGATTTCCCACCGGGTATAAATTAAATTATTATATATATATATATATATATATATATATATATATATATATATATATATATATATATATATATATATGTGTGTGTGTGCGTGTGTATATATATAAGTTGTTTTTAAAGTCAAAATGGAACAAAGTCACGGAGTTCGCCATGAAAGTTTGACAAGTATAGAGGTTGGTATTCATTCTAATGATACAGAAACTTGCAAAGAAACCCATCATCCATTAATGGTTACAAAAAATAATATTGCTCTCTGTTTTTCCAAAATGGGAAAGTATGAAAAGGCTTTAGAAGTTTACTATTCTGTTGAAAAAATACAAACTGAAATTTTTGGAGTCGATATTCCATCAACAAATAATTCATTGTTATGTGACATTTCTTTGTGTATCGACACACAAAATCAAATTGGAAGTTGTTTATACGAAATGGGAAAATATGATAAAGCAATAGAAATTTATTATTCCGTTGAAAAAGCTCAAAGTGAAATTTTAGGAACCAATCACGCATCAACATTAGCAACAAAAAATAATATAGGAAACTGTTTTTACGGAATGGAAAAGTATAGCGAAGCCTTAGAAGTTTATTATTCCGTTGATAAAACAAAAACAATAACTTTGCCAATCAACCACCCATCAACATTAATTACAAAAAACAACGTCGGAAGTTGTTTTTACAAAATGGGAAAATATCATAAAGCTTTAGAAGTGTATCGTTTTTTGGATAAAATGCAAACTAAAACTTTAGGAATAAGAAACCCTTCAACAATGGCGACAAAAAACAACTGCGGACTTTGTTTGTTTAAACTAGGAAAATATGAAGAAGCGTTGAAAATTTATTACCTTCTTGATAAAACTCAAACTGAATGTTTCGGAGTCAGTCATCCATTGACAATTAACACAAAAAGTAATATCGGATGTAATTTATACTTATTAGGGAAATATAACGAAGCTTTAGAAGTTTATAATTCTATTGAAAAGATACAAAACGGAATTTTAGAAGTCGATCATCCATCAGTAATGAGTGTAAAAAACTATATTGGTTGTTGTTTGTACAAAATGGGAAAATATAACGAAGCTTTAGAAATTTATCACGTAGTTGATAAAGTGCAAACCGAATTTTTTTCAAAAAAGTTATTGAAAAATAATCATGAAGTTATATTAATTGATGATTAATGTTAGAATATTTAAAGTTAACGTTATAAACATTAACATTTTTAAAAACTATTTCCTTAATTATTAAAGTTAAATTTTTTTTTTTTTGGCATAAGAAATTTAATTTGTGTTTAACATTTGAGGTAAAATATAATATATCGTTGGAATGAAAATAAATATTTTTTAATAATTTATAAATATTTTTTCAATCTTATCTCATAGCTGTAAAGGTGAGTTTCCACTCATCCGTTTTTCTACGGGAAAGGGAAAAGGAACGGAAAAGTAATCACGTTAGCATGCGCAGTTTTCTTTCGGACAAATAAAAACTTTTATAACGCATGCTCACGTGATTATTTTTTTATTTTCCTATCCCGTAGAAAAATAAATGAGTGGAAACTCGCCTTTATAAATTTTAATATCCAATTACCTAAAAACACTTTGAAGTCCATTAATTATCTTCAAAACTCTAGATTAATAAAAATATTTTAACTTTGCTTTTACTTCAAGTTGTCTGTTTTTAGCTCTTTGCTTTAACAATACGTTGTTCACTTATTAACGGTTGGTTTTCATATAGTCGCACTGCGACAATTGCCACGCAGTATTTGTCGTGCGACCACTCGATATACATTAGGACAGGTCTGTAAAATATGAAATTTTAAAACGTGATAAAAAATCGAAAACTAAAATATTTTTTTTACCAAACAAAATATTCCAAAGTTTTTATGATCTGATCAAAATAGCTCTTCTTAGAATATATCCCGCTGTTAAAAATTGAAGTAAAATTGAATGATGGAGGTTGTGCGAGATGTTGTTAGAAACTTTTGTATTTATTTGTTTTGCTCAACGAGGAAAAAGTTTTAACTTGGCATACTTTTCAACGTTCGTATATATAATAACATATATTAAACTTTGATATATCAAACTTTGATATATCAAACTTTGATATATCAAACTTTGATATATGTTATTATATACACGAACATTAGAAAGTATGCCAAGTTAAAACTTTTTCCTCGTTGAGCAAAACAAACAAATGCAAAAGTTTCTAACAACATCTCGCAGAGCCGTACGCTGGGTTTTTTCATGTTTCAGATAGGAAACTTCCACACATTGTGCAAACTCCAAACTTAAGTATGTTCATACCTATGACAAATGAGAAAGCCTTGCGAAAATTTGGGATGGTAGAGGTCTGGGAAAAAAAAAACCCTAAAACGTTTTCACCCCCTGCCCAAACGTGAGGGCACTAATAAAGTAAAATTTTTAACTTTACTATCTTAAACTAAATTTAAATTTATTGACAGATTTTAAATTTCATTGAAAAATACTGTAAATTACAAAAGTTATGACCATGCAAAATTTACACTTCCCTCATTTTGAGGGGTTGGAAAATTTGGGTGGTCATAACTTTTGTAATTTACAATATTTTTCAATAAAATTTAAAATCTGTCGATAAATTTGAATTTAGTTTAAGATAGTAAAGTTAAAAATTTTACTATATCAGTGCCCTCACGTTTGGGCAGGGGGGTGAAAATGATTTAAGGCTTTTTCATTCCCAGACCTCTGCCATCTCAAATTTTTGCAAGGCTTCCTCATTTGGCATAGGTATGAACATACTTAAGTTTGGAATTTGCACAATGTGTGGAAGTGTCCTATGTGAAACATCCAAAAATCATGCGTACAGCTCTGTATTAAACAATAATAAATGTATGATGAAAAAATGTATATAATAACCTATATTCAGTGGCGTAACTAGGGGGAGCATGACCCCGCAGAGCGGGGAGGCCCCAGAGCTAAGAGGGCCCCGCTGAGATTTACAAATTTTACTCATATGAATAATATGACTGGTAATAATAATATGAGTCTTACTAATTTCTGTTTTATCAAATACATTTTATGAATTTATAATTTTTTACGTATCCTACGGGCATTTTTGGAGAAAAAATTGAGAAAAAATTTATGGAGGGCCCCTTTCCTTTTGTGGTGGGAGGGAGGGGGAGCCCAATTTTATAGTTACGCCACTGCCTATATTAAACATTAGAAACGAGGGACGTGTTAAAAAGTTATTATGAAAAAATCTTGATTTTTAAGATTTTTTTTCAGTATTTTATGTAAGTAATTTAATTATAATAAAAAAATCAACTTTGATTAGTTTATTTGAATGTTTAGAGAATCTTACTTATTGCCATGGTTGGGGCTTGTTTTGGGTCAATTACGTATTTGTTTATGTTAAAAATAAGCTAAATTGGCGTTTTTGTATTTGTATTGTATTTGATAAAAAAATTTCTTAAATAATTATATTTGTACTTGCATTTGATTGAAATGTGTTTGCGATTCCGAAAACTAAAGTGTTTTTTAGTATTTTTCAGTGCTTCAGTGTTTTTTTGAGAAATACTAAGAGATTTTTTTTTTTTACAAACTAAAATATAATAAAAAATTGTTTTTAAGAGATATTTTTTAGAAGATTTGTTTTCATTCTTATAACGGGTATATTAATATATCGGTTTATTTATCATTAATATCACGGGTATATTAATATAACGGTTTATTTATCATTAATATAACGGGTGATAACTAAGTTTTGGCACAAATACAAAAGTGCATATAATTTTATTACTACATACCCTATAAACATTGTAAATTACTTAAAATTAAGCTCTTGTGTTTTATTATGCGGTTTAATACTTTTCTTTTTTTTCAAATTACATCAAAGTACGACATTATAAAAAATAAATTGTACAAATTCATTGTTCAGAATCCTGAAATAGAATCAAATAAAATTGCAAAGCGTTTTATCTGTCCTTAAGCCTCAAAACGTAGTATATTTCGTTGGATTAAGCAAGTAAAAAAAACCATTAAAAAGAAAAATTGCCAATGATCGTCCAGTAAAAGTAGCAACCAAAAGTAACATTATAAAACTTTAATCATAGATTAGGACGTTCTCAAAGAGCAGCTGCTAGAAAATTTGGATGCTCTCAACCATATGTTAACAAGGTGTTAAAAATGCATACTAACATCAAGTATAGAAAAAAAATTAAAAAACCACTTCGAACTGAATAACAAAAGAAGCTAGCTAGACCAAAATGCAAAAAACTTTTACAGCATTATGGAAATTGTGATTTTTTAATCGATAATGAATCGTACTTTACTTTGAGCCACGTTGATCAGCCAGACAATGACGATTTCTACACCGATGACTTTAATAAGACACCGGATAATGTTAAATACAGTTTCAAAAAAAAATATCCCTAAAAGTTGCTTGTTTGGCTTGCAATATCACTTAAAGAATTGACAAAATCTTTTTTTTCAAAAATCTGGAAATGCAATCAACCAAGATTTTTATTGTTAAATTCTAAATAATAAACAAATAAACAGAAGCGTTTATTAAAAAAAATTATAGTGCTGGTGGTTATGTGTTTTGGCCTGACTTAGCGTCCGCTCATTATGCTTTTAAGGGTAACTAAATTTTTGGAAGACCAGAATATAGTTTTTGTCCCAAAATTCATGAATCCAGCAAGTTCGCCGGAAGCTCGTCCAAAAGAAGATTTTTGGGAAAACTTGAAAATGGAGGTTTACAAGAACAACTGGACGACAAAATATTTTGTTGAGTTAGAAAAAAAGATAGTTAGATGCCTTGGCAATATGGATTTAAAGTTTGTACAAAACCATGCTTTATCAGTCAAGAAAAGGCTTAATAAAAAGGAGATCTGGACTGAATTATTTTTTCATTATTTTTTTTTATAATAAACCTAATTGACAATATTATAATGTATTTAATAGATCTAAAATAAAATTTTACAATCAAATACAAAGGAAATTTTTCTTTCTTTTTGTATTTGATTGTAAAATTTTATTTTAGATCAATCAAATACAAAAAGAAGGAAATTTTTCCTTCTTTTTGTATTTGATTGTTGTCTTGGTGCTAATTGTTTTTGATATGTGCTTTTGGCTGACACCATACTTGCGGGCTAGCTAACTTCGTCACTATGATCGATTCGCTTTTTCAGCATGGTCATTCGCTTTGCGTTCATCTTAATTGCCACCCGTCCAGCTCCACGCTGCTTTTCAGGGCCTATATTGAGCGTCTTGCGCTGCAGAATATTATACAGGGTCGACCTTGATGCGCCTTCAATCATGAAGTGTCTCACAATCTCACTTTTCTTTATATCCGGATGCAAATCGATTAATGCGTACACGCGCTTTCTGAGGTCTTCCTGTTTTGAGATAATTTTCTTTGCCATTATAAATAATTGTTTGCTAAAAGATATATTGCAATTTGTAAACAATTAAATTTACTACAACGTAGCATAAGTTGCAACAATTTTGCAACACTCCTTAAACAATTTATGTCGACCGAACTTTTGTCCGGATTTCTAGGTATCGCGTGTTATATATATATATATATATATATATATATATATATATATATATATATATATATATATATATATATATATATATATATATATATATATATATATACATATATATATATATATATATATATATATATATATATATATATATATATATATATATATATATATATATATATATATATATATATATATATATATATATATATATATATATATATATATATATATATTTTACATTTATTTTGCTGTTTAACAATAAATAATCAAACAAATATATATACAAGAAAGAAAAAATATGTCCGTAGAACAAAGAAGACAGTAAAATCTTGTAAACAAGCACCGTTTTTGACAAGATTTTACTGTCAAAAAATTAAAAAATAAATAAAATTCCTTGGTGATTCCTTTAAGCACAAAAGATTCTAAAATTTTAAAAATTTATTTTTTTGTTAGAAACTTAAATGAACTTAATGAATTTGCTATACATTTAAATCTTTTTTGATAACTATTCCATATATTTGGTCCTCGATATGCAATGCTATATTCAGTATATTTATTAATGTTTTGAGGCAGTTTATATGTGTTACTTATATTTGCTCTTAGATAATTATTTTCATTTATGTTTATTTCAAACTTGTTATTAAAGTTTGCAGGAGAGATATTATTATTATTGAGTTGATACATAAAAATTAAATATTTATTTTAAAAACATCCATCATTTTGATATCTTTCATTATAGGTTCAGCATGTTCATGCCCATGATATGTTTGCATAGCTGATGAAGCAATGAAATAGTTCAAAGTAAATTAGTTTAAGATTTTATTTATTGATATATGAGCAAACTCGATACATTATACCAATTGTACTAGTGATTTTGGATTAAATATATCTTATTTAAGGAAGCCAGGATAACTTCTCATCAACAATAATTCCTAAGAATCTAATACTGGCTTGTTTTTTGATTAAGCTATAATTTAATATAAGGTCAGGCAACTTAAGAGGAAGGTTTTCTTCTTGTGTTTTTTTTGTGGAATAATATACAGTTTGTTTTTTCTGTGTTAAGTAAGAGTTTGTTAGCCCTAAACCAATTATTTACTTTATTTAGTTCAATATTCATATCTGAATATAACTTCTTGATATCACTGTTTGTAAGAAATAGATTTGTATCATCAGCAGACATGACTGAGTTTGGTTTTAAAGATGCATTGCAAAAATCATTTATATAAGTTAAAAACAGGAGTGGACCAAGGATAGATCCTTGGGGGAATCCACATAAAACATTTAATACTCCAGATTGTGTATTTCACACATATTTTTTTCTATTGGTAAGATAAATTTTAATCAAATTGTAAGTTTTATTAATTATACCATAGTTTCTTTAGTTTGACTAATAGTATGGATCAACTGTATCAAAAGCTTTTGATAAGTCTATAAAAACTCCTAAAGTAAATTTGTTTTGTTTAAATCCATCAGTTATTTTATTAACTAATTCAATGATTTCATGCTATGTTGAAAGGTTTTTTTGAAATCCAAACTGGTTTGGGTAAAATAATTTGTTTTTAGTGAAGTGATTATAGATTCTATTATAAATTACACGTTCGAAGAGTTTTGAAAATACAGAAAGTATTGATATAGGTCAATAGTTGGTTATATCCGAATGTTCATTACATTTAAATATGGAAATTACTTTTGCTAATTTAAGGACATCAGGGAAAATCCCAGATGTTATTGAGAGCTTAAGTATATGGATCAGAGGTCTGCTTAGACTAGTTTTATTAAAGATAACTAAATCATTAGTAATTTCATCAAATTCTGGTGCTTTACTTTTTTTTTAAAGAGGAAAAGGCTTCTTCAAATTCTTTATAGTTGAATTCCTTAACGTACATGATAATGTTATTTGTGGGTTTTAGGTAGTTTTTAAATGAATCAGATGTTGGAATTATTTTATTAGGAAGATTTGGACCAATATTTATAAAATATTTGTTAAATTTTTCGGATATTTGTTTTTTACAGAATATGTCTGTATTGTTAATATTATTTTTTTTTGTAAAGAAGTTGAATTTATTTTTTTTCTTTCCCATTATCTCATTAATGATGGACCGCGTTTTCTTACTATTAGATTTGCATTTTATAATTTCATAACTGTAGTATTTATTTTTAGCTTTTTCAATGAGGCTTTGGTAAAAATGTTTATAGTTTTTGTATTTTATCTCTATGTCAGAGTTTTTATTTTTTAGAAACGTATTATAGAGTTTTTACTTCTTTTTGGAGCATTTTATTAGTGTTTTATCCATCTATGGATTAGCAACTACTTTTATCTTAGTTTGTATGTCCTCTTTCTTGGACAGGTTTCTTTGAAGTAATCTAGGAATATATCTAAAAAATTATTGAAAGCTTCATTAGTTTCCTGACATCTATACACGTTGGACCACGTTTCTTGTTTTTGTCTAATTGATAATTCATTAGTATTACTTGTTTTAAGATTGCGTTTTTTCAAATTTATAACTTTTGGTTCACAATCAGACATGGATTTTAAATTTCTTACTTTTATAAATATCGGAAAGTGATCGCTAATATCAGTCATAAATATCCCTGTTTCAAAATCCATTTCCAGGTAACTATTAATGAAAATATTGTCAAATGCCGTTGCCAACGTTTTTGACATACTCGCGTTGGGTTATTAATTGCTGACAAGACATTAAATTTAAGAAGCATATCAAAAAAAGATTTTATTTTTGGAAATTTAGAATAGGTTAGAGCATTAAGGATTATGTCTCCAATAACGTTTAAAGTTTTAATTTCTTTATTTATTTTTTCAATTGTATTTTTAATAAAAGTTTCAAATGATTTGATTTTTCCACTTAGTGGACGATAAACGCATCCAATTAAAACATTTCGAAGTTTTTTTATTTATATTTTCAATAAATAGGCTTTCGTAATTATCGTTTGAGGAGCATAGTATGTTTTTTACCTTAAAATCTAAATTAAATGCTTTTTTGAGACATAAAGCCCTAAAAAAATCTTAAATGCTTTTTTGAGACATAAAGCCCTAATTCTTCACATTTTTTTCCACTTCCTCTTGGTTGACTTATAAGTTTATAAAATGGTAAATTGTAAATAGAATTTAATTCAAGAGAATTTTCAAAATCATGCCAAGTCTCTGAAAGAGCTATGACGTCGAACATGTAATTTATAATGTTTAAAAAATCTTTTAGTTTCTCTAAATTTTGCTGCATGCTTCTAATGTTTTTATGTAAAACTGAAAAAGAACTATGATCTTTTATTATTTAAAAATTAAAAAATCAATATATTGTGCGTCAATTAAGTTCATTTGAGTTTCTTGAAAAATATTCATGTTTTCTTTTAGCAGGTTATTAATAAGGTTACCCTCAAAAGATTTCAAATTTTCAAAATGCGTAGCCATTTTTAACGAAAAAGTAAATTAAAAAAAAAGAAATAAATAGCACTACTTCTTTCTGGGGAAGGGATGAAAAAATATTATAGCAATTGATTTTGAAATGAAAAAACTCCCGCTTGCTACTAATGTAGTATCAGGAGAGTAAAGGTTTTCATTTTTGTATATAGGTTGTTTAACCAACAAGTGTTTTGACTTGGAAAAAGGTAACCAGAGATTGTTGTGACTTGCAAAATGGTACCCACAAGTGTTGCAATTTGCACAATTTTTTGATAGACGGCTCTGGCTAGCCATTAATATAAAATAATAACCGTAAATATAATTGTTGTTTAGTTTCATTAGTGAAGTTACTTACAAAGTTACTTGGTAAAGATTTCGTATTAAGTCTTTGTTGGCGTACATTAATTAGGTGACCTAGTTAATTGTATTTGTTGCACCTTCTGACATCGTGTGCAATTCCTGTCCGCTTTATATTCTATCTTTCTAACACGACTACTTCTGTCTTTTTCTCTAATATACTTTTTTTTTTCCCAAACTCACTTTACTCTTGGTCCGTAGAGCAGGTAATGACACTCCTAAAGGAGTTGAACTTGTCTTTGCGGGCCTTGGTAATGTGATTTCCGCGAGGCAATTAGCTGGAGGAGAATAAACCACAATACCTTCACTAGTGGAGTTTAAAATTGTAAATGTGTATTGATTTCTCACGAAGCGCGCAGTAAGTTTTTATAACTCGTGCAATTAGTTCTTCAATAAAAATGCGTTATTTCGATCTATTCTTCTCTCCAATTGCATACGTACTTTATGAATAATCGTTATTTATAAAGTTATATATATACATATATGGAGAGAGATTAATCATTCGTATTTTGTACATTTTGTGTAGATTGCGTGTTTGGTCTTGTTTATTTTTTATGGTTATTTTACAATATTATATATTAGAAATATATTATTTTAATATTATATTTTAGAGTATTTGATTTATAAAAAAAAAAAATTAAGTTAATAATACGTAAAAGTACGGCAAAGAAATCTACTAATATATTTACAGTAGTAAATTTTCTTTTCTAAAGTATTTTAGTCTCGGGTAAACTTATGCATTTCAAACTAATTTTCAGAACAAGAATAGTTTATGTTTTTAAGTTTGCATAACACAAACAAAAAAAATCTTCTAAACGTTTAACTGAAAATAACAACAACAAACAAACAAACAAAAATAAACAACAATAAAGAGGATATAAAAATAGGTTTCTCCCTCATTTTACTCACTCAATACATGGTTGCTCAATTTTTCTGGTACTTTGCGTTTGTTTAAAATATACTTGATATGTAAAAAATAATTTGAGCATTTCATTTTGAAAGCTTTGTTCTAATTTAAATTTTTTTTTGGAATATTTCAACTTGCACAAGTTTATCAGACATTATTTTCGTTTATTGTCAGCTTAATAATATAAAAATTAATAACAATATAATAAACTTAATAAAAGAAAAAATAATAAGAAAAAGCCATAAAAACGACTTAAAATCATCAAATTCAACTTTTTCTTTTTTATAATATTATTTACACAGCTGGAATGCTGTCATGCCTTTGCGTTTTTTCAGATGTCAATATTAAGAAAATATTAGCTGTTTTGTGTTCCGTCTTTGTTGTACTTAATCCTGGAACATCACCTAAAATTAGTTCCTATAGAAATAAAATAAGTAATAAAAATGGTTGCTCAATTTTTCTGGTATTTTGTGTTTGTTCAAAGTATACTTGGTATGTAAAAAATAATTTGAGCATTTCATTTAAAAAGCTTCGTTGTAATTTAAATTTTTATTTTGGAATATTTCAACTTGTGCAAGTTTATCAAATATTATTTTCGTTTATTGTTAGGATAATAATATAAAAATTGTATAAATTAATAACAACTGGTGTAATTATTTTTCTTTATTGACCGAATTGTATTAAAAAGACACTATCAAATTTATTAAAATTGTATTAAAAAGACACTATAAGCTGGAACAAACTGGGCATATGATTGCAATAGTTGTAATAACAAATATATATATATATATATATATATATATATATATATATATATATATATATATATATATATATATATATATATATATATATATATATATATATATATATATGTATATATATTATATATTTATATATATATATATACATATATCACGTGATATTTAACTTGCTAAACCTACTGTAAATAAAAGTTATTCTTAATCTCATATAAAAATTTATCCAATTTTTTCATCATCAATTTATATTAATCTAAACAATTTTAGTTATTGTAATAGTTATTATGAGAAAACAAAATATATAGCAATATACAAGAAATTTTAAGAACTTATCCACCTAAAAAAAATCTGCTGCTTTATTTGAGCAAAATATGTTCAATGCTATAAAAACTTTGTTTCAAAAATCAACCAACAATCAACCCACCCTCTCCTTAACAAAAAAGTAAATAAGTAAATATTCTTTATTTTTTTTAACTGTATTTTCACATTAGATTACATCAAGCGCATTGAAATGTGTGAATTTTTGCCATATATTTACCACTTTCACTTTTGATATTGTGTTGGTTCATGTTAGCAATAATCCTTATGCCATTACAAACTGTAATAAAAAACAAAAAACACTGCACTATATTCTTACAGATAAAAATCATTTGGGCTACATCTAGAAAAAGTATATATAAACAAGTTTAATGACTTCATATAGGTGTACTCATTCCTATAACGCATATATGTTTAGTGCAACATACTAACTATTAAATTCAAAATGAAAATTTCGTTTTTGATTTTATTCACCATGTATATATACAATTACATACACAACAATTTTATGAGTTATCAAATGAAGCTTACACAACCACAATCTTATGAATTTATGGTTATGCAGTAATGGTCTTTTTAACTTATTTATGTAGCATTTTTATAATTTTTTCAAACAGTAGCGAAAAGTAGTTAATAAAATCTATGTATAAAAAAAAAAAAAAAAACAGTAGAAGTTTGTTTGTCGTTATAGAATCTTCTTTCCTCCTTCTTTTATGATGCTCACTCGCAGCAAACAATGTATTAAGATGGTTTACTTCTTCATAAAATAAAATTCTAATATTTAACAAATTTTAGCAAAATTTTACGTTAGAAAACGTAAAATTTTGCTAAAATTTTATTAAATATTTATTACAAAACTGCTTTAGCATGCTAACAAAAATTATTATTATTTTAATTAAATTTAATTTTAATATTAAAGCTCCGTGTTATGTCATGGGATGTTCTATAGTTTTTATCATTGGAATTACAATATGGTATTTTTAAAACTTAAAATGGTGGCCTACAAAAAAACCTTCAAATGTAGTTATAATTTAAAATGTAGCAAGATCATGTGTTATCAGATGCAATTCTGCGAATAAAATGAGGGGGGGGGGGAAATCCTTAAAAAGTGCAGAATAGTCTCTAAAAAAAGGGCCTTAAATCTAAAACCTCAAAAAGCCAACTTTAATTTGAAAATCACATTTTTTGGGGAAGTGAGAGGGGTGTCACACTTCATAAAATCGTAAAATTTTTTTCTCTTATTTAATTAAAGATTATACCATACTAAGAGCATAATTGTGTGGACATATAAGTTCTACATTTGTGTCACTAATTATCAGTTTATATATCAATCATAAGCAAGGTTATAATTTTATACTTTTATTCCACTTAACGTCAGAAATTAACTTATAAAACACTTACCATAAAACTGTATTTTTTTTTTAACAATTATAAAACAATATAAAATTTTTTATTGATTGGCTGAGGAATTTTTTAAATAAACTTGATTCAGTTCTCTTAAGTAAACACAATCAGAAACAATATTATTATTGCTATAAAATGCATTTTTTGTTGGTTATCAGCGTTTGTCACTTTGTAAATGAATATTGTTTTACTTGCCTAGACTTTTTTTTTCATTTATGCAAAAAATGTTTTCAAATCGCCTAATTTTTCAGCTCGTCTGTTATTCATAACACGTTCTAATCATTTTAAAAGCATAGTTAGATGGAAATAAGTTTATAATAAAGTATGTCAGTGGCGGATTAAGACTTCTTGGGGCCCGGGGCTATTTTTATTTTTGGAGGCCTTATAATGGGCCAGAGCCTAAAAATGACCAAAAAAAAAAAAGTACTCTAAAATTTTTGGTAGCCCTAAATTTGCAAGGCCCGGGGCTATTGCCTTTACCCTAGCCCCCCTTTGATCCGGGACTGAAGTATGTAAGTGATATTGTCAGTTTAAAAGGAATTTTTATTTCGACAGAAATAAATTTTTTTTTTAAAACACCGGTAAATTTTACTTTTTTAATTATCATAACTAAGTAAAGTAAAATGTGTTTTACAATCGCATCATACTTTGTAAATGCTTTAAATCATTTTAATTATTGTGAATATATAAGATGCAATAAAGAAGTCCACTAAATATAAATATTATTGGAATTTTTGTAGCGATTTAATCACATAGGTTTTGTTTTATTTTGTAGCGATTTAATCACATAATCACAATCCTATCTATTATTAAAAGTTTAACCACGCGTACTTTTGGCTCTCTTTGTTTAATTCTTATTCAGACAGTGTCTTTCAGGTCCAAAGATATTTAAAACTAAAATTTTCTTTAAAATATTGGCTGCCCGAACCAAAACCTTAGTCAATATATGAACACTCACTACACTTATAATTATTTATGTCAGTCAATGTGCGTGGATTTCACTGCGCCTATTCCTATATATCTCAGTGTACCTAGCCCCTATAGGTCAGAGTAAGCAGGCGTGAAGGCAAGAGAGCTTACTACTTAATTTGCCGACATTTATAATTTCTTAAAGAACTATTAATTTATGAAAAAACATTAGTAAAGATAAACTTATTTTTGAAAAAAAAAAAGTTGTTCGCAATTAAAAATAATGAGTTGTTTGATTAGGGTAAATAGAACAATAATGTGATTAGTGATTAGGTGAGCAATTTATAGCATTTTAGTTCATAAAATTATAAAAGTCTTTTATATCACCAAGTAGGGTGAATTTACAAATGCAAGGACTTTAAACAGTGTAGGTTTTCACAAAACATTTATATGGTGCTTTAATATTTTCTTTTTGAAGTTTTTTTTTACACATTGGTTTATCTATAAAAATATATAAATATGTTTACTGTAATATTTAGATATTTACAAACAAATATTTAAAAATGGGACATACTGTCAAACTTTTGAATGGCTTTTATACTAATGCATTTCTTTTTTAGGTATACTATAGCTGAACAGGTTATTTTACCTTTAAGCATACCCGTACCATAATAATCATGAATTTTTATGTTTATTCAATATAACTAATTTGGTATAAATAAAAACTTATAAAAGTCATCAGTTTGTGAAAATTGTTTGTAAATATACTACTAAGCAATGTCCATAAGGTCTAATTATCTTCGACATATAAAAATTTTTTTTGTTGAACTTTTGAAGCATTATTCAAAAAGTTTATGTTATATTCATCACCTAAATATAATAAAATAAATTTTGTTGTTGTTAGTTTTGGACAAAACTAATATAATAAAGAGTTTAATTGAAAAAAATATTTCTTAATGTAAAACAATTTCTATTAGAAAAACTTCCGAAAACGGAAAACTCTTTTTTCCGTTTGCGGAACTTTACAAAAATCTTCTTCTGGAGTTATTTTTCTTGTTTTTATGCTAAAGTAGAACTTGCTTACATATACCAAAAGTTGCAATAGATAAAAGTTCTTTAGGATCATTTCGTAAACTCATCTTAGAGCGTTTAGGTTTTTGATCGCATTATGTTTGCACTTTTTTGAAAGTACAAAAATTACACTTAATCACAATTTTAATTGTCTCTCACCCACCCTTATGAAAATAATTAATTATAAATACAATTTTGAGAACAATATTAAACCTTAGATTAGGATCTCCCTTTTCTATTAATTTTAAAAAAATAGATTTTCCTTCAAAATATCTCAAACTAGGCCTGAATTTAACAACAATTATAAACATTGAATTACAATTATAAACAAAAGGTTTCGTTTTATAAACGTTTGATATTTTACTTTTTACAAACTAATTTTGGGTAGTAGGAAAAAATCCCTCAGGAAAAAATCCCCCTGAGAATAAATCCCTTGTTATTTTTTTTCGAGCGCATAATACGATATATCAATATAATAGTTGTTTATAATATAAATATTTTATACATACATATTATGTTGTAAGCAAATCCTTAACCCTTTATTTTTCATAAATTGACTGACAAATAGGTAGAACATGCAAAGAGTGTAAGTTTGTTGACTGAAAAATAAGTAGAACATACAAGGAGTGTGCATACAGAGACTGACATACATTGACTGATAAATAGGAAGAACATGCAAGAGGTGCCGCTACATTGACTGAGTGTTTGGTTTGGGTAGACAATCTATTAATTTCAAATAAATATTTAAAAAAAAAACTTTTTTTGCATAGGATTTTTTCAAGGGGGATTTTTCTCTCTGGAAAAAGTTTTACAACGCAAAATAAACAAAATATCAATATAATAGTTGTTTAAAATATAAACATTTTATACATATATATATATATATATATATATATATATATATATATATATATATATATATATATATATATATATATATATATATATATATATATATATATATATATATTATGTTGCAAGCAAAACCTTAACGTTTCGGTTTTCATAAATCGACTGAAAAATAGATTG